TAACACTAAAGACAGACAAGTGTAATGATATCATGAAAAAAATATGAACTCTAGAAAAAAAACTGATTACTTGCATTAGTCACTAACTAATATTGTGATACTTAATTGATTCCAACAATTACTTATTCTAGGTATCATTCTTTATAATGATATCTTTACAAATTTGATCTTCTTTTAGCAACTTGTAACGGATAGGTTATATATGTGTAATCTAGCACAATGTTGCCTATATCTTTGTGTATATGTTAATTCCTTCTGTCTAAATAAATTGTTAACTTATTTGGTCAGTAAATTTTTATGTTAACCCTATTTAAATTATGTTAACTTAATCTGTCCCTATAAACTGTTATTATAACTCCTTGTGCCTCTATCTTCTACTTCTTTTTATCATTACCCAGGTGTACACGCTGAGAAAGTTCTAGTTGTTCGTACAGTTTTGCATTCATGTCAGTTTTAAGATCAGGCTTTATTGGCATGCAGATTGTTGGTTCCCCAGCTATCAGCTGATGCACTCTGACTTAAAACTAAACATCCTTAATTATCATCTTTTATGATTTATGATATGCTATTTGGGGGGTAAGTGAGCTTATCCCCCCCCCCCCTTTCCCCACAGACCCTGGAATGGGGATTCTGTCTCTTATAAATTGCTAGGTTAACTCAAATCCATGGCATTTATTTATTGCATTAAAGCAGCAACGACCCGGAGCAGAGAGAATACGGGAATGTATCATGATTATCCTGCTGCAACATTTATATGCCACATGGAGCTCTCATTTGATTCTTCCAGTCCATTTAACCATGTGATTTAACCATCTGATACTGTATGTGAAATCGCTGACCACTGCCATTGATATTCATCTAACAAATCCACCCTAACTCTAACCCTAAGCCACTGCTTCTAGGCTCTTTGAAATCAATCATGTCTTGATTTTTCATAGTGGCTGTGGAGAGTATTATGCTTGAAGAGTGATCATGTGATCTGGACGATACCCTGAATTCAGAGGAAAGGCAAGATGGACATATAATCAAACCTGTTGGTACGATCGGAATTAAAACTCTTCACTGGCTGCTGAAAATGAGGAAAGTGTGTATGAGAATGTCCTGAGTGATATGATGTTGGTTCTTGACTCAACTTAGCTAAACTCAACTCACAATAGTTATTAGGGCTCTACTGCAAAACCTAGTATTGAAAGAGTTTATAATATTACCTAAGTATTCTATATAAACCAGAGTGTTAACAACAAGGGGACAATGGAATGTATAACATAATTATGATTATAACATAATTACTTCAGTTACTTAACAATTATTTCTGTAATGAAATGTAAAAAACTGTTCCTGATCTGTGCATTCTGTATTATCTTCTTCTTTGCGTTTTCCATCTGTAAACTCTGATGGAACATTCTGGTTGTTTGTCCATGTCTGGACTTTAGTCTTGTTCCAGAACTTGAATTTTGTGCACACATCAGTTTCACAGATCTGGTTTATTTGTTTACAGCCTGTTTGTTTCTTACCTGTCAGGTACATGCACTCAGACTGTGACAGAAATACTCAGAATAAGTCACAGCCTGTTTTTTTCTTACCTGTCAGGTACATGCACTCAGACTTTGACAGAAATACTCAGGATAAGTCACAGCCTGTTTGTTTCTTACCTGTCAGGTACATGCACTCAGACTGTGACAGAAATACTCCGAATAAGTCGACTTTTATGGCATGCATATTGCAGGGGTAGGGAACACAGTGGGTCTATATTCTTCCCCCCCCACCCACAATGGGGCCTCAAACCCACATAGGGCATTCTTTATTAGTGGATAAATGTAATATGGAGAATAAATGTAATATGCAGGTTAAATGTAATATGTAGGATAAATGTACTTTTTAAAGTAAAGACTTTTTACCTTGGCGCATCAGGCATAGGATCACGGACTCATATACCTATAGTCCAGTCAGCACTAGTAGAAATAATGACTTGTTCTGACATAATCTCAGTAGTTTAACTGTTTCCCTCAACATATGATGTCTCAAGCATTTACATGTTTGTGAAAAAAATAATAACTTCAAGGCAGAAAAAGAAAAAAAACCATCTGACAATAATAGCCTCCATCAGTCACATTTGAGTACAAACATTAAAATATGGCACACATATTTAACTTCTGCAACATACACCAATCAAACAGGGAATATTGCAAAGTAAAACAGTAAAACAGTGCATGTCTAATGAAAAGGTAAACACAAGATGATATTAACAGGATTTTGTGTGGTGTGTTGGGGGGGGGGGGAGGTGTGTGTGTGTGTGTGTGTGTGTGCATACGTGCGTGCATGCGTGTGGGTTTTTTTTAATTACCACAAACATCAAGGAATGATCTTGAATTAAGGAATGTACTCTCTTCAACAGAGTTAGTGTGGAAAGGTCCCTCTACACACCACCAGCATATCAATCATATTAGGTTAGACTTCTATTTTTACAGACCAATGTGATCAACATTAGGCCATCTGTCTTGTATGATCCCAATAATTTGTTAAGACATGACCAAAGAGTGTGAATTGTCTGCAGTTTCAGGATGTCAATCCTTCCATTTGAAACAAAAAAGCATTTTTGTCAATTGTTATTTTATGATTATAAAAACTGTATTCTCTAGGGACAAAATTGGTTAGTTTCTTTTTCTGCGTAATACTTTTTATTGTAAGTCTTTTAGTGTCATTAAAAAAAAAATCTTTGTAAGGCTACAGTGTGATTTTGTCAGATATCTGAAATTGAAAGGATTTTTTAAAAAAATCAGATATGACATATTTATCTCCTGAGATTGAAAGAATGTTGCTCAAATGCACAGATGTATAGTAAAAAAAATTCTTAGTGTCACACAAATAAAGGGGGGCAGCTAATAAGAAAAAGCTGGTCATTCTATTTTAAAATTGGTAACATATCTAAAGTCCTTGGCATGATCCTAAGTTTGACAGAAATTAGATAACTATCTAGTAGAAAGCTGTCCCCATGTGGGATGCACAATTTTTTGTTTTTTGAAGTCCCACCCTGGCTTCTGTCGGGGGCCCTGAATACAGCCGGGGCATAGATATGGCTTAGTCATAGATATGGCCCAACGGCTGACAGGGGTTTCTGGGATCTCTCCACGGGTGATTCTCATCCGCATGGTGGAACTTTGTGTCACCGGGTGTTTATCGCTTGTGTGATGTCCTAGTGGGGTACAACAAGCAAGCAAGCAAATATCTAATAGCTGTCCAACTTCAACGCAAGTAGGTCACCAAAGAATTGCTCCATTCCCATGCTAGTAAAAAAAAAAAAAAAAAGTCTTTCATCATCCAATCTAGCGAAACAGATCAGTCTTAACAAAATCCAACAGCTCACATATGCAACAAATATATGATAGCTTCTAGAGGTGCTAACACATCGCCTCTAGAACTGCAGTTCATTGTCAATCACATATGCAGTATTGCATAAGGTAAACTGTCCGTACTGATGCAAACAAATCAGCTGTTATTTTCTTAATATGCAATTCACAATACAAACTACCTCAGGCTCAGACAAAAAATAATTTCACATGAAATACCCACTTACAGTGTTACAGTGCACAACTCTGTATGTGCGTGATGAATTCCCAAAACCAAATATAAGAACAATGCACCAGCAAACCATAGAGCGCTCCAAGGTTTTAAGTGACTGCCTGCCTATTCACCATTCTGGACTGACTGACAAGGATGAAAACAGAGCAAACTGATAACTATGTGTACAGTGGTTAACTAAGACCGTAGCTGAGTTTTGGAATTTAAAATGTTGTGGAATACCTGAAAGGTCAAATGATCCTACTTCTCTTGTCGAATTACCTTCGCCTATTAAAAAAAGGGATGCAGAAGGAAAATAATATCTTCACATCCTAAAGATGGGTACCAAATATTTCCATATTTCCCTGGGAAAGAAAGGTGATGAGGAAGAGAATTGGGCATCCCACACAATGTCATGATCCAAAACAGTGGTTTTTCAACCTTGAAAAGGGGAGAGTTGGGGTGTCAAGTAATTTTAAAACAGAGTACTTGTTATAATCTCTTTTACTAACATATTTTGTTTTATTATTTAAACAAATATATTTTAAAACTATATATAAAAGAAAAAGCCAAGGACCTTATATTATTTGATACTTTGATTTCATCATCATGTAGCAGGTCCTTTGCAAAACATCACTCTCATCACGGTCTGCATATAAGAAACTCAGTCTCTCGCCAGCTCTCCCGCCTCATGTACTTTCATATTACGGAGTCACTTATAACCTGTGCCCATTTTCATGTTCATTTTTGTGGATGTTTTCCTCCAAGTACTTGTTAATAGTGTTTTTTCTTGTTGTTCTCCTCTTTAGAATCACTTGATTCCTAATTTTTGTGGGGGTCGGGGGGGGGGGGGGGGGGGGGGGGGGGGGGGGGGGGGGGGGGGGGGGGAGGGGGGGGGGGTAGGGCCTGGAGGGGGCATGTTGTGTCATATATTCAAGGTGGAAGGGGGAGAAAGAACATCATTTAAAACAGACTGAAAACCATTGGTCTTGATTATGCAAAGGTCTAATACTTCACATCTCACTGGCACTCTCTGCTTTGGGACTACATTGTCTTGTTTTAAATGAAAGAAGTGGGGCCTGGGACAATTAAAATCCTGCAAGTGCACTTCTTCTGCTGTGTTTGCTCTTAAAAAGAATGACTGGCACATTAAGTTGTGGTTTACAGCTAGGCTGCAATATCTGCACCGTTTGGCCCAACATATTTTATTGCAGCAAATCACTAGTTCAATCACCTTTTATTACATATGTGAATGGATTAGTTGGTGTATTGCCCGCCCTCCTCCCCCCAACCTAAAATGGGGCTCCAGAACCCACACAGGAAGCAAGTGCACTAAAACATAAATCATTAAAACCTGGCATAGTACAAGCAAAGTGCAAGAATCATTTCAGCCTCAGAAACAATAATAACCATTACTTCCAGACAGAGAATCGAGGTAGAGCCCCAGTTCTAGGATCAGTGGGGTCTCGTTGTCCCTGGTCATCTGCTAAGACATCGCCAGACATGGCGGCCATATAACTGTTGCCATGACTGTCTCCACACGAGTTTGACTTGTATACTGCCTGTATTGACAACAAATAGCTGGTACTTTACACCTATCTATCACTAAGTGAAGTTTAATGTTTGATGTCTTCTAGATCAGTGTGTCCCATTCCAAAATTCGAGAGGTATGTGATATCATTTACAACAATAACAAGATCCCAACTTTAGAATGTAATCCATTAAATTAATGAACAGATATACCATGTTAAAGAAGATTCTTGATCTTTGAAAAACTGTATTTGTCACATCATTGTATTTATATTATGACCAGTAATTCAATCTGAAGAACTGAGTGTGTTTTTTTTATGTCACTTGAAAGTTAGTTACAGAATTAACCACAGCATTTTTTTGCTACTTGTAATTTCATTAGGCAATTTTACATCCAGTAGTTTGCCACTGCTTTCTGAATGGTCAGCTCTGGATACCACTGTCGAAACCAATGCAATGTGGTCTGCTGCCAAAGTGCCAGCAGCTGGGCAGCACCCAAGAATTATAAAGCCCAGCTCCCAATGACTAAGCCACAGACACTGAATAACATGTCACTTCATGCTCAATGAAAGCTTTGTCACTCGCCAATAATCTTAAGAAATGTAAAGGACCCTTTTGACATCAGTGCCATGTCAGGCATACCATGCTGAACATATTTTTAATAGACCAATCAGCATTCAATGGTGACTGTGGTTAACATCACGCAGACTGACCTTACCTCCCAGGAAATTTCCATGTACCATATTTAGGGTGGGTCAGCCTGGGTGCCAAGGTCAGTTTAGGTCTGTCTTGATGATGCAGATTCAAACCCAAAACCTTTGGTATGTAAGGCAAGCATCTAGCCACTGCATTATTGCAGCTCACCCCTTTGCTCCAATGCTTATTAACTATACAATACTGTATAGTTTCACCATGCCTTCCAGCTCTGCTACTACATGTATGCTCATAACCAAGACATCTCTGATATCATGTTCCACTTTTCTGCGGCGGATCCAGGCCTCATCTTCCAGAAACCATGACATCACATTACTGCTCTTTCTTAATTGTGAAGGAAAAGATTAATTAACTTTAAATAATGGTTGAATATCATAGTTCTGTAATTTTTAGCTAGTTCATTTCTATATGTTGTGTCTTGATTCTTGTTGTTGTTGTGCTGATGATGGCTAGTCACTGCAACGGCCCTTGTTTGTCTTCAGTAATTGATCATAAAAAGCTAACAGATACTTTATGTTTTTCAACTCTCTTTTATTTTCATAGCTTTCCTGTAGTCACCTCATTTTGATAAAAAATGTGACATTTTAATATGGCTGAAGCTTTTCACTTTCTGAGAAAGCAGTTCATTCCTGAGTTTTCTTCCATTTTCACATCCTGCAGAATCTTAGTATTTTCTTCATCTTGAAGTTCAAAAATCATAATTTTCTGTTTGGATAATTTTGAAATGATTCATGACTCCCACTCATACTTTATCTCAGAAACTGTGCCTGTTCTGAATATTTTTACTTAAATTTGCCTTTTGGTGGATGCCATGGCTTTTAAATGCTGTTTAACTTCTGGCAGATAGAGAGATGAACAAAACACTGAAAAAATGAGAATTGTCAATGGTTATGTATACCCGATCCTGCTATATGGTGCAGAAACTTAGAAAATTAACCAGCAACTAGAAAATCGAACTCTCTGGAAATGTGGGTATACAAAAATATAGGTCATATTTCACGGAAACAAAGACAGTCTGATGCAGAGAGGTTCAGAGGGGACTACAAATGAGAAGAGAGTTGCTGAAAGAAATAAAGAAAAGACAACTGGGATACTCTGGCCACATTAAAAGGCATAACATACTTTTGAAGACTATACTGGAGAGAAAGGTTGAAGGCAGGAGAGCAAGAGGTGGGTAATGATACAAGTGGGAGGACAATATCAAGAGACAGATGGGCAGCAGTCTGAGAGAGTGTACAACCAGGGCAAGAGACAGAGCAATGTTGCCGATCCATTGGAGCCAACCTTCACTGTGGAAACCGCACCTGACTGATTTATTGTTTTAACACCTCTGTATTCCCGTAGCCCGATTCCTAATCTAACTAATCTTAATAGTTTTATTTATGGCCCAAGGTCACAATTTTTGACATTTTCAGTCATCATTGTTGACTGTTACTTTTATTTTTTTTTTTTGACATGTAGTTTTTCTCGTGCAAAATATAGATATTTTTGTCCTTTTTTATGTAGTTAAGAAACATATTTTGATCAACAGGACCGACCATTCTGAATCCCACTGACCTATCTGAGAGGAAGACAGTGTTGTCCATTTAAGAAATTACAATAACTACATACCAGCATATCAGGTCCACTCCCTGTATCTTTAGGTAAAGGGGCACCAGATCCCTGAAAGACATGAAGAAACAATGCTTAACACAAACAACTAATTCCTTCTGTGTACTATTAGAATACCCTTTCACTGAAGCAGAAGCTAGTTAACCTAGAATTATGACACTGCGCTTCGTGTTGTAAAGATGTAGTATTTATATGGATTATCAATTGATACCCCTCTAAATGACTTTATTTCAAATATATGAAAGATATATCAGCAGGTGTGTTAGAATTAAACAAATGAAATGTATAGATGTTGTCATAGCCCTGTGGGACAAAGTATAAACAATACGACGTGTAACTTCATGTTTGTGTTTGACGGACCAAAAAAGTGCACCAGCGGTCAGCCAGTTGAACTGACAATATGGGGAAAACCCGAGATGGCTTGAACACTGGTGCAACGTTCACATTTTACCCGAAGCTGAACGGGGAGAGAAAGGAGAGTGGTTAGAATGGACGTGTGAGGCTGAAGACATTTAGAGACGTGATTGTATTTTGTTAGGAATTGAAAGATAGGTTGTGTTAGAGTTGTCGTCATATGTGTTGGTTAGCTGTTGGTATTCCTCGTGTGCTTATAGTATACTAAGACAGTTGTGTTGGGGTTGTATCGTGCTTAGGTAGGTGTTCTTGTCCCTCGGTTATTAGGGGTTAGCTGCATTTTGTGCTGGCGTTGACATTGCCCGCTAATACTTGAACCACTCACCCTGCGTGTGCCACCGAGTCTGGCATGGTGAAGATCGTAGCCTAGTTAGCGCTGCACTACAGAAGGTGGAATCGTGTCCTCTGGTACATCCATGGGAATGGCTCGGGGTAGATAAGTAAATAAATAACTGCGGGAGTTTCGGATAAGGGACTGTCCATAACTGTGGAGGTTGCTTTAGGTTGTGTTGTTCTTTGTTCATTAAAGATGATGTGTGTGCTCAATAGGTGTGTGTTTTGAGTGTGTTCTAGTATAGTGTGTCTGTCACAGGGCCGTACAACGAGCTGTAGTTAGGTAATATAGATACCAGGTCCTTGACAGATGTGTACATGCATATGTTACCGAGGCCTTCACAGGAAGCAAAAAATAGTAACACCCTACCATGCATGTCATAAGAGGCAACTAAAAGTAGAATTGGACCTGCGCTTGGCAACCTCATTCTGTAACATACTTTAGCCCCAAAAACAAACAAACCATTAGAAAAAATATATAAAAATAAATAACAAGTAATATCCAGCCAAACAAGGTGGGGGGAAGGCTTTCTAATACAAATATTATGTAGTTTTGAAGAAAACAAAAGGAGTCTGAATCACTGACATGTCTCCTTTCACCTCAGAATTAAATGGTTTGATAGAATCGCTTAGGATGAGCTTTCAGAGAGAACTAAACAAGTTCCAGTGAATCAATAGGTTAAGAAAAGATGCTGCCAGTGGATACGACATAGTAAAAAAAAAAAAAAAAATAGAATGTCTTTGAAGTGAGCCCAGAAGTTTACAGAAATAAAAGCAGACCCCAAAAAACACAGTGAGGTTAAAAAGATGTGGAGGAGATTGTGTGAGATGCATCAGATAGCAAAGAACAGGCGACTTAACCTGAGGAGATTGAGGGCCACTGCTCCAGTCAAGGATAAAAGGCTGATAAAGAAGGAAATAAGAGTGTACTTGGGATCATCGGAAGACATCATGGTGGACAATCATATACACATCCACTGCCTGGATAGATAGCGGATGCGCTGCTTGATACGGAGAGATATGAAGTAAAAACTGCTTGAAATAAAACACGATAAAGTCAATGCTACCTAGGACAGACGACATGTTGGTCTCTTACTAAAATGTTTTATAGTATGCTGAAAATGTACTCCATTTAGTTATATTCACATGACTCACTCTGTCATTTTATTTTCCTTTTTTTTTTAAATTAAATTTTCTTAACTTGTTCAATCCCAGACATATGTTTTTCAAACTTAATATAGCCTAAGACACTGTTACTTACTAATAAAATTCAGGTCTGGGGTAGTTGAAATATCAACTTTATAACGTAAAAGAATTAAAATGACAACTTGGTCAGAGTAGATTCATATAAAAACTGGATGGGGCAAAAGGAGGTAAGAAAAGTATACTATATTTAACAGCTAACATACATATAGTGTATTGTTTGGCTACTGTAAGAGTTTACATCATGTTTTAAAAAAAAAAGCAAACAGATCTAACCAGCACGAATTCAGTACTTTTGAAGAAAATAAAGCTGCTATGGTATCAACATTCTGTACAACACAGCGACGGGATGATGAAAGAGGTTTGAGGTTTTGAACAAAGGATCAACATCGTGGCACACGGGTGTAACCCATAAGTGCTCCGTTCTTCTTCTAACTTAAGTCGTACTCCAAAGAAGCTCAGCACAGTGCACAGGCTCTGTAGCACCGGTGAGGATCCTGAAATACTTTGTGTAGATTTTAAACTCCAAATTTCACCCAGGCAGCGCAGTTAGGCCACTCTTTTTGATTTCAAACTGCCAAAGGATTTTTTAAGTAAACAAAAATGCACACGGGGTCCGATCTCACTACCCAGAGACCAGGTGGAATTACTAGAAGTCCAAGTCCACGTGAAAAAATCTGAGCCCTTACTGGGGATTGAACCTGGAAGCTCAAGCACTTGAGGTGGACACCATGCCTCAAGACCATGCAGCCCCCTGATCATGAGAGAAAAAGAGGACATCCAAAGAAAACTGCATCACGCAAACATGTAAGCATGTAGTGGGCAGAGATTTATGATGTACTGAATTACGTTGCTGGGAACAGAAGGCATAGAGATGTATAATCAGATTACTTCAACATCAGTTTTTGGATTAACTTACCAAATAAATAAACCATTGTTTTACTGGATTTAGGAAACATTATGAATGAATGATAGCTGCAAATGGCACAGCAGCTAGATGCTCGCCTGCCAGTCCAAAGGTCTAGAGTTTAAATCAAACTGAGGCAGATTTATGTTTTCAAACTGTCCTTGGGTCTTAAACTGACCAGGCCTAAAATAGATTCCAGGTAATATCATGGGAAGTAAAGGCAGCTGGAGTGATGCTGAGTGCTGACTGGTCTATAAAAATAAAGGTCTAGCACTATATGCCCAATACACCATAGACAATTTGGATTGTTTTCTCTTTGTGAATTAATTTCTTTAACAAATGGCATTTTAAAATCTGCCTAAATCAGAAAACAATTTTGTATCCAATCAACTGAGTAGCATGATATTAAAGTTGCAGTACTCTCTTACTGGGTGTAAGATCCCTTTCTCCACCAACAATTTTCGTGGGGTTCTTGGAATATCAAGTGCAGCAAAGAACGGCCATATTTTATCAGAAACTGAGGCAAAGTCTGCTGGGGTTCTGAAAAATAAAATGACAATAAACAATTCCCTGGAATAGATAACAATTAAAGGTACATTTAAATAATTACTACTTGACACAAGCTGTGAAAAAAAGTCAAAAGAAATGTTATGATGAGAGATGCCAAATGTGCAGGATGCATTCTATTTACAATAGTGAAAATATTGCAATGCAATTGATGAATCAACCGTAAAGCATCTTTTATTATTCTGTTGTCAAAAACTTTAAAGCAACCATTTATTCCATTCAGTCCAAGCATATTCAGTTGTGTTCAAGTTTATGGGATTTTTTAGAGGATTTCTTTGCTGTTATTAGAATCTAAACTAAAAAAAGATGGCAACGCGTGCCACAGTTGATATTATAATAAACTGAATAATTAGTGTAGTATTTCAGCTACTCACAATCTAGTTGTTTTTTTTTTAAGGTTAGTTTTCTATTTTATAATTCATCTTCTGATTTCACCATAGTAAATGGTACTACAGTAGTTAAAACACACAGAAACAATTACCAGACTATGAGGAAGGAGACAAAAATAAACTTTTTTTTTTAAACAGTAAGTCATAAACTGTTAATATCTTATACACTTTATGGGTGGGGGAAGAGGCAAAAATACAATCCTAACCTGCAGTCAGTGGTTACTGTACTAGCCATGTGGCTTTAAATTCTCAGCCTCAAGACCCTCTTCCTACATCATGACTTAAAACAGTGGTAAATACAGACAGTAATAACAGATTCCAGGCATGTCACACTGAACACAGACAGTAACAACATATTCCAGACATGTCACACTGAACACATACAGTAACAACATAATCCAGACATGTCACACTGAACATAGACAGTAACAACATATTCTAGGCATGTAACACTGAACACAGACAGTAACATCATATTCAAGGCATGTCACACTGAACACACAGCATGTCACAACAGTAACAACAGATTTCCAGGCATGTTTCACTGAACACAGACAGTAAGAACAGGTTTCAGGCATGCAACACTGAACACAGTAAGAACAGGTTTCATGCATGTCACACTGAACACAGACAGTAACAACATATTCCAGACATGTCACACTGAACACAGACAGTTACAACATATTCCAGGCATGTCTCACTGAACACAGATAGTAACAACAGATTCCAGGCCTGTCACACTGAACACAGACAGTAACAACAGATTCCAGGCATGTCACACTGAACACAGACAGTAACAGATTCCAGGCATGTCTCACTGAACACAGACAGTAAGAACAGATTCCAGGCATGTCTCACTGAACACAGACAGTAATTTCAGATTCCAGGCATGTCACACTGAACACAGACAGTAACAACATATTCTAGGCATGTCACACTGAACACAGACAGTAACATCATATTCTAGGCAGGTCACACTGAACACAGACAGTAACAACATATTCCAGACAGGTCACACTGAACACATACAGTAACAACATAATCCAGACATGTCACACTGAACATAGACAGTAACAACATATTCTAGGCATGTAACACTGAACACAGACAGTAACATCATATTCAAGGCATGTCACACTGAACACAGACAGTAACAGATTCCAGGCATGTTTCACTGAACACAGACAGTAAAAACAGGTTTCAGGCATGCAACACTGAACACAGTAAGAACAGGTTTCAGGCATGTCACACTGAACACAGACAGTAACAACATATTCCAGACATGTCACACTGAACACAGACAGTTACAACATATTCCAGGCATGTCTCACTGAACACAGATAGTAACAACAGATACCAGGCCTGTCACACTGAACACAGACAGTAACAACAGATTCCAGGCATGTCACACTGAACACAGACAGTAACAGATTCCAGGCATGTCTCACTGAACACAGACAGTAAGAACAGATTCCAGGCATGTCTCACTGAACACAGACAGTAATATCAGATTCCAGGCATGTCACACTGAACACAGACAGTAACAACATATTCTAGGCATGTCACACTGAACACAGACAGTAACATCATATTCTAGGCATGTCACACTGAACACAGAAAGTAACATCATATTTTAGGCAGGTCACACTGAACACAGACAGTAACAACATGTTCTAGGCATGTCACACTGAACACAGACAGTAACATCATATTCTAGGCATGTCACACTGAACACAGACAGTACTAACATATTCCAGGAATGTCTCACTGAACACAGACACTAACAAGAGATTCCATGCATGTCACACTGAACACAGACAGTAACAACAGATTCCAGGCATGTCTCACTGAACACAGACAGTAACAAGAGATTCCATGCATGTCACACTGAACACAGACAGTAACAACAGATTCCAGGCATGTCTCACTGAACACAGACAGTAACATCATATTCTAGGCATGTAACACTGAACACAGACAGTAACAGACTCCAGGCATGTCACACTGAACACAGACAACATATCCCAAGCATGTCACACTGAACACAGACAGTAACAACAAATTCCAGGCATGTCACACTGAACACAGACAGTAACAGATTCCAAGCATGTCACACTGAACACAGACAGTAACAGATTCCAAGCATGTCACACTAAACACAGACAGTAACAGATTCCAAGCATGTCACACTGAACACAGACAGTAACATCATATTCTAGGCAGGTCACACTGAACACAGACAGTAACAACATATTCCAGACATGTCACACTGAACACATACAGTAACAACATAATCCAGACATGTCACACTGAACATAGACAGTAACAACATATCCCAGGCATGTAACACTGAACACAGACAGTAACATCATATTCAAGGCATGTCACACTGAACACAGACAGTAACAGATTCCAGGCATGTTTCACTGAACACAGACAGTAAGAACAGGTTTCAGGCATGCAACACTGAACACAGTAAGAACAGGTTTCAGGCATGTCACACTGAACACAGACAGTAACATATTCCAGACATGTCACACTGAACACAGACAGTTACAACATATTCCAGGCATGTCTCACTGAACACAGATAGTAACAACAGATTCCAGGCCTGTCACACTGAACACAGACAGTAACAACAGATTCCAGGCATGTCACACTGAACACAGACAGTAACAGATTCCAGGCATGTCTCACTGAACACAGACAGTAAGAACAGATTCCAGGCATGTCTCACTGAACACAGACAGTAATATCAGATTCCAGGCATGTCACACTGAACACAGACAGTAACAACATATTCTAGGCATGTCACACTGAACACAGACAGTAACATCATATTCTAGGCATGTCACACTGAACACAGAAAGTAACATCATATTTTAGGCAGGTCACACTGAACACAGACAGTAACAACATGTTCTAGGCATGTCACACTGAACACAGACAGTAACATCATATTCTAGGCATGTCACACTGAACACAGACAGTACTAACATATTCCAGGAATGTCTCACTGAACACAGACACTAACAAGAGATTCCATGCATGTCACACTGAACACAGACAGTAACAACAGATTCCAGGCATGTCTCACTGAACACAGACAGTAACAAGAGATTCCATGCATGTCACACTGAACACAGACAGTAACAACAGATTCCAGGCATGTCTCACTGAACACAGACAGTAACATCATATTCTAGGCATGTCACACTGAACACAGACAGTAACAGATTCCAGGCATGTCACACTGAACACAGACAACATATCCTAAGCATGTCACACTGAACACAGACAGTAACAACAAATTCCAGGCATGTCACACTGAACACAGACAGTAACAGATTCCAAGCATGTCACACTGAACACAGACAGTAACAGATTCCAAGCATGTCACACTAAACACAGACAGTAACAGATTCCAAGCATGTCACACTGAACACAGACAGTAACATCATATTCTAGGCAGGTCACACTGAACACAGACAGTAACAACATATTCCAGACATGTCACACTGAACACATACAGTAACAACATAATCCAGACATGTCACACTGAACATAGACAGTAACAACATATCCCAGGCATGTAACACTGAACACAGACAGTAACATCATATTCAAGGCATGTCACACTGAACACAGACAGTAACAGATTCCAGGCATGTTTCACTGAACACAGACAGTAAGAACAGGTTTCAGGCATGCAACACTGAACACAGTAAGAACAGGTTTCAGGCATGTCACACTGAACACAGACAGTAACATATTTCCAGACATGTCACACTGAACACAGACAGTTACAACATATTCCAGGCATGTCTCACTGAACACAGATAGTAACAACAGATTCCAGGCCTGTCACACTGAACACAGACAGTAACAACAGATTCCAGGCATGTCACACTGAACACAGACAGTAACAGATTCCAGGCATGTCTCACTGAACACAGACAGTAAGAACAGATTCCAGGCATGTCTCACTGAACACAGACAGTAATATCAGATTCCAGGCATGTCACACTGAACACAGACAGTAACAACATATTCTAGGCATGTCACACTGAACACAGACAGTAACATCATATTCTAGGCATGTCACACTGAACACAGAAAGTAACATCATATTTTAGGCAGGTCACACTGAACACAGACAGTAACAACATGTTCTAGGCATGTCACACTGAACACAGACAGTAACATCATATTCTAGGCATGTCACACTGAACACAGACAGTACTAACATATTCCAGGAATGTCTCACTGAACACAGACACTAACAAGAGACTCCATGCATGTCACACTGAACACAGACAGTAACAACAGATTCCAGGCATGTCCTCACTGAACACAGACAGTAACAAGAGATTCCATGCATGTCACACTGAACACAGACAGTAACAACAGATTCCAGGCATGTCTCACTGAACACAGACAGTAACATCAATTCTAGGCATGTCACACTGAACACAGACAGTAACAGATTCCAGGCATGTCACACTGAACACAGACAACATATCCTAAGCATGTCACACTGAACACAGACAGTAACAACAAATTCCAGGCATGTCACACTGAACACAGACAGTAACAGATTCCAAGCATGTCACACTGAACACAGACAGTAACAGATTCCAAGCATGTCACACTAAACACAGACAGTAACAGATTCCAAGCATGTCACACTGAACACAGACAGTAACAACATATTTCAGGCATGTCACATTGGCGGCCCATGAGCCACATGAGGCCATGTATAAGCACACCTGCAGTCAAGACAAGGGAAATATTCTGCAATAATTTATATTAAATGATCTCAAATAGTTGTTGTATGTCATGATGACAGAGATGTGACCAATATGGGCCTTGGGGGATTCTCAGTTTGACAAACCTGACATAGTAAATATGTGTAATATACAAGTGGGCTTTAAATTAAACCCTTAAACATGTAATAGAAATTAAAATAGCCATGGTATTGTCTTGTAACCTGTCAATATTATTGTTAAGGATGTTAAAAGTGCTATGCATGTAACACCATAGAGCAAACAAGCGACGTGACGTCAGTTTAAAGATGGCTGCCCCATTTTTGACATAAACTAAAGAGGAACAGTGTTTCTGTTATCTGTTTTCCAAAGTAAAGAGATGAAACCGAAAGAAATTCATTAGCAAATGAAGATCCAGTATAGTGATGCATGCCTGACAGTCCAGCAAGAGTAGGAGAAGTAGGAAGTTTCCTACTTCATTTGAAGCCATTTCATATTTCATGCTGTAAATTATATTTTAATATCTTTTAAAACTATTAATTTTCTATCAGATAACATACACAGACATCACAGCAAGTCAAGCAGAAAATCCGTGCGACAAACGACCACACAAGATACTTGGGTCTGGGAAGGTAAATGAGGGAAAGTCAGAGGTGGACTCATGGTCAGTTGTGTACCAGAGTTGGAAGAAGACAGTCGTGATGTCTTTGAATTAAGGGGACTCAAAGATGAGTAAATGATTATTGTGGCATTTTTGTGGAAGTGAACAGCGATGAGTGTGATCAAGTACATGTGATGGAATAGGAGAAATACACTTGCAGAATGTATATGGAAATTCGATCAGCATTTCAGTGTTGTCAGTTGTAGAAAGCTGTATTTGTTGCAGAATAAACGAGCCATATTAAAAGTGACCCATCTATCTTACAGACATACACATAATGAAGCAAGTAAACATGCATGCACACATACACATACAATCTCTTACCCACCTTCAAATACACATCATGATTTGTAAAATAATATTACCTATTCTCATAATCCTGAAGTTCAGGTTGAGCTCCATGCTCCAGCAACATCATTATTACCTGGATAAAGAAAACACATAGGTGCAAAGTGTGAGCATGGTATTTTCTTCTTGGCTTGGATGAGAAATTAGAACAAATAAAAGTTTCTCCTAACTTAGACAAGTAATAACTGATGATGGCTAAAGTAAAATAAAATTTAAACCAACAAAAAACAAAAAAACTAGGAAAATTGAAATAGCCATAAATATTGTGAACATCATGAGAAAATTACTGTCATTGAGAAAGATAAAAATATCAAAATTATCACTGTCAAATGTTATGTATACTTAACCCTACTATGGGGTGCAGAGACCTGGACGATGAATAAGCACTCAGAAAAATCATACTTAGTCTCTGGAGATTTGGAAATACAGAAGAATACATGGTTAGTTCCATGTTAGTTTCCCCAAAATTTTCATTCACAAGTTTGTTGGGCTGGTCGATTTTCATGAAGGTTACGGGTGTGTCCCACTCTGTTGTTTGATTTCTGTGATGTCTTGCATTTACGTTTTTATTCTGAGAAAGAGAATGCCTGTGACGTAGGTTGCAGCACTCTCTAGGGGAAGTTTTGTTAGACCCAGTTTCTCCATGTTTGTGGAGTGTTAAAAGCACTGGCGTGCTGAAATATACAATAGGTGATATCAACGGCATTGCAGAACACACCTGTAACCTTGTGTGAAGGTAATGGGGCTCAGGAACTACCAATCAGAAGTGAGTAATGTGAACATAGGCAGGGTCTGGTGAGACTAACGTCAAACTAACCAAATACATTGTATCTGATTGGAAACAAAAACAAACAGGGTCTCTGAAAATGTGGATGTCATATTTGATAAAAAATAAAAATACATAAGGGTCTATGGAGATGTGCTTATGCAGAGGACTACACCATATTTGATGGGGAAAAAAACAATCAAATTTAGTCTCTGGAGATGTGGATATGCAGAATAATACATCATATTCAACAAAAACATTAAAAAAAACAATCCAACAAGGTCTCAGGAGATGTGGATATACAGAAGAAAATTTCACATTTGATGGTTATAAAAAGCAATGAAAACAAAATCAATCAACAAGGGACCTGAAGAGACTAGGAATAAAAAGAGAACTTATGAGAACAAAATAAAAATTAAAAAGAGGGACACATAAAAGATATTTGAGCCATATTAAAAAAAATAAAACTCTTTAAACAAAACCATACTAGAGGGGAAAGGCTCAAAGCAAGCAAACAAGAGGCAGACAGCAATACAAATGGGAGGACAACATGAAGAGATGGATAAGCAGCAGTACAGAGTGTACATCCAGGGTGCTGGAGATCCACTGCAGCCAACATTTACTGTGGAGATGGCACCTGACTGATGGACATTAGCAATTAATCTACTGACCTAGAGTAAAACCAAACGAATGAGTATATATATATATATATATATATATATATATATATATATATATATATATATATATATATATATATGCAAGACACTACTTTGTACATGAGTTGAGTTGAGTCAAGAATTGACATCGCAGCACTTGGGGCATTCCCATGCATGCTCCATCCTCATCTTCAGTAGTCAGCGCAGAGTTCCAATACTGATGGTACCGGTCACAATCTGGTTTTATGTCCGTCTTGCCTTACTCTGAGTGTAGTGAGCTGATTTACTTTGTACATGAGGGTTGAAACCAAACAGAAATGTACGCATGTAAGTCTGATGGCGAAAAGGTGAACCGAAGTCCCTCACGCTCTGGAGGTCATCGGTCCTATTTGCGGCTGTGTCACTCAGTTCACGAGTGCAATTTTCACATGGAGATACCAGGGAATCATGACCAGGTGCTACAAAGTTCATGCTTTGTGTGACTTAAAGGTAAGGATTCTAATACATTCATCATAACTGCACATGCAACACAAATAAATGCATTCTTGAACACAAATGTTGTCTCAACAAGTACTACAGTCAGGTAGAGAAATGAAACATAGTTTGTCAAGTCATACACAAAACAGACATACTGGTCCATGCTCTTGGAAAGTTGCTGCATGAAGAGGAGTCCACAGTGTGCCTTCATTCTGTAAACTGGGATCTGTGTTGTGAATAATTTGCCACTATTACTAGAACATATGAAATAGTTCTCAATCACTTTCTCTCCACATTTGGTTCCGAGGCTCAGTTTTGGAGAACCAGAGTAGACCAGCTGCCCCCCAGCAAGCATATCGCAGGAGCTGGCTACTCAGGGGTGTTTCTTTCTTCTTCTTTGTTCTCTGCATTCACGAGCTGTAAACTCTGGTGGAAAGTTCCGGTTGTTCGTCCACTTCTGGACTGCAGTCCTGTTCCAGAACCTGAGTGTTGCGTGTGCATCCATTTGACAAATTTGACACATTTGTGTTCAGACTGTTCGTTCCATGCCTCTCAGGCAAATGCACTCCGGCTTCAAAGGAAGCTCCCAATTAGTCGACTCTTACGACATGCTTTTGGGGAGGCATTGGGTCTATTCTTGTTTTCCCTATAATAGGGCCTCGGAACCCACATGGGGGGGGGGGGAGGGTTTGTTTCTTTCAAAGTTTAAGTCTATTTGCCTGGAAGGCAACGAACCAACAGTCTGTAAACAAATTAGCCAGACCTGTAAAATGGATATCCATGCAAAACTCAAGTTCTAGATCAAGACAATAATGCAGGAGTGGACAACAACTAAAACTTTACAGCCAGTGTACACTAAGAAGAAAAAAAGAAGAGGAAGAATAACTGTAAAACTTCTTTAACTTTTATTATTCAGGACAGTGTCTTCTCTGCTAGATATTTTTTTTTTTTTTCAAGTAAGTAGTAAAGGACCTTTTCCACGCCTTTAGGTGTATTGGGCATAAAGGGCGCTAGATCAATCTTTTATAGACCAATCGGCACAAGATGGGTGAGTTGGTCAGTCAGCATCACGCTGGCTGCCTTTACTTCCAGGGACTGCACCCGATATCCACTCAAGGCTGGGTCCACCTGTGTCACGTGCGGATATGCACTAGAACGCACCAGTACTGAGCGAGCAAATAGGACGTCAAAACAATACGTAATGTTGTTATGGGATTGCTGTCAAAGCATTCGATGTATACAGTCTGAAGGAAACAGACGTTTGGATCCTTGAGGACGTTTTACCCCGGGATACCACAGAAACCATTTTTTGTATAAAGTTAGATATTTGAGGACGTTTTACCCGGGGATGCCATGGAAAATATTTGTTGTATAAAGTTGGACCCTTGAGGACGCTCTACCCCAGGACTCCACTAGAAACCTCAGTGGAAAGCTGGTACATTGTCTATTGCGCTCGGCAGGAAGCCGGTAAACCTTGAGGCGAACCATTAAGAAGGACACTGCCTTGTTCAGACTGCAGAAGAGGAGATCGATGTGATCGTCCAGACTTCCAAGGTCGGACTGAGATCGATGTGACCGTCCGGACTTCCAAGGTCGGTCTGCGACCCGTTGTTTGAAATAAAGTCAGTTGATGTACGAGCAGTTGCTTGTGTTGGCTTGTTTGGGTGAGTCTGGAGTTCGATTATTGCACATTTATCATTGATCAAGTTGTCACGCATTACACCAATGACCGATTCCCCTAGTCTTCAGCGTTAATTGCGTTTGGAAGACTTTAACATTCATCATGTTCTGTCACACTTGGCTGGTGGCATTGTAATTTATTTGATGCCGCATTTGTTACGTTAACAACATCCTATTTCATTGTTGGTACGCCGCACATCACAATGAAGCCGCTACACGTCACAACCTGCTAGATTTTTGGAAAAAAGTCTGGCTTCCCCAGAGAGCGAACCCACGACCTTCCGATCCGTGGGGAGCATCTAACTGCTCTGCCATGGCAAATCCCCTGCTAGATATTAAATTCTGTGAATTTTAACAGTAAAATGTATATCAGATAAAAATCAGAAATAAAACAACAAAGAAAGAATTCTAAGTGGTTAATACATTTTACTACTGACATCAGTGCTGGTACAGCCCCATGCAGTTTTTAATGAAACATAACAAATTAAATCCTCTTTTTCACTGCTCTGTGTTCTCTGCAAATTCCTGTTTCTTCTTCTTTTAGTCTTGTTCTGTAGAACTTGAGTTCTGGTTTTCACTACACATTCATTTTACAGATTTTGATCTTATTCTTTGTATGCAGACTGTTGGTTCCTTACACTCGACTAGGAAGCAATTATGCACGACATCTGCACTTTGTTTTCCCCACCAGTGGGCCCCGGAACCCACTCTTGATTAGTTAACTTTTACGACATGCTTGTTAGGGAGGGCAGTTGAACTCTTTTTTATCTCCCAGGAAGGGGCCCTGGAACCCAACAGAGAACACAAATTAAATTAAATTAGATGAATCCAAGAAAAATAAAGAAATAAGAGAAATGCCTAGATTTAGGACTGTATGAACTTTTTTTTTTAAAGACATAGAAGATGGCAATATACTGGGCACATCATAAAAAGCAGAGAATCAACAAACAGGCACTGCAATGGGAAACAAATGGGCTGAGAAAATGAGGCTTGCCAAAGAGAAACTTGAATATGAACATTGTTGAGAGAGGCCAAAGGTTTTGAACTGGATTTCATTCATGATATTTAAAGAATTGTGCAGGACAGAATAAAATGGAGGACAAGACTGTCGGTCCCATGTGAAGTGTAAGGGTATAACAGAATGATGATGATGACAGCATATTAATTGTATATTAAGAACCTTGAGTATGTGTATTTATAATACATTCTTGAAGGATGATGATGATGACCACATATTTATGTGATGTTAGGAAACTTGGGTATGTGTATATATAATACATTCTTGAAGGATGATGATGGCGAAAGTATGTGAATTGAAAACCTTGATATGTGTATATATAATACATGGCTTGAATGGTCTAGGAGAAAAGTATTAATTGTGAGAACCTTGAGTAGATTAATAGCATGGGCTGAGATGATGCAGCATGATAATAGGTAACACCTGGTTTAAATACCATCCTCGAAGATTGATGGATGATGGATAAAGTCCTGGTATTAATGTCCTTGGATCATATGTCAGATATATTACATTTTGATTTCAATAAGATAACAGATTATTGTCATATTAATTAAGAACCTTGGGTGTGGCATTCTTAAAACTGATGACCAGATGATAACAGATTGCTTTAGTGACCATGTTCCAGTTGTAGGAAAAATCAGAATAAAACTAAAGAACATTAGAAAAACACCACAGAACATCAAGTTATGTCTCTTTAGGAATTCTTAGAACGGATAAAGAAATTTAGGAACAAAAAGTTAGAATGTCACTGTATACAAAACATTCTGGGTATGATAATGCTGATAATGGATTAATGTTATATTTTAGACTATTGTAAAACCGGTACAAAGGCTTTGACAAATAAATGCTGACAAAATTATGAAAGACTATTGATGAACAGTGGGATATGTTGCGTGAGTTTAAACAAGTGAATTACACATCAAAAGAGTGACCCATTTCCACCATGTAAATTAGAGTTGCAAAAAAGAAATGGACCTACATTTACCTTTAGTTTTCATAGCTGCCCCTGTTATGGAAAAAGATAGTAAGTGGCATTCCTACAATTGAATTTTAAACTCCAGGTGATTAAAAATACTCTAGTGATACAAAACAGAAATAGGTGAACAAATGTAAAGTGGCATCAGACAGAAAACGTGCAGAATAGCCAGAAATAGAGACTTATGGATTGAAATGGGTGCACATATACTTACTTGTCCCAGCTTCCAGTAACTGTTTTACACTGTCTTTTAAACCCCAAAAACTTGCTGTGGAAATAAAAAATAAAAATTGTTGTTTGTGACTGTAAAAGGAAGAGAGACACAGTGTGAGCACATGTGAATAAAAGTGTGTATGTGCGCGCTCAAAATAGATTGTATGTGTGTGCGTGAAATATTGAATATGTGTATGTGTGTGAATTAGACATTCCTGTCTTCTCCAATTTATGTATACATGTTTGTGCAGCTTATTTCCTTCTTTCTTTCTCTATTTCCTTTTTTAAAATAAATTTTAAGTCTCTACTCATTTCACTTGTTACTTTGTAAGCAAATGCATTTAACATTATGTTTTTTTTTTCCAGTGTTCTTTTGTGCCTAGTCTTCTACACAAGTACCAGCGAGTAAGGAACATCAGAAATGATATAAGGAATTTGTAAGCATTTTCATTTCTCAGCAGATAATTTACAGTTAAAATGTCTGAGGAAAATGATGAACATATAATGGGATGAAGAAGTACTAAAATGTCTGGGCAACCACTAAAATCAACAGTTATAAGACAGATAAAACTGGTGCTTTAATGGACACATTCTGGGAAGAAACAAACAGAGAATCACCAAACAGGCTCTGAAATGGGAAATAGAGGGATTGATGAACTGAGAATGTCCAAGAGAAACATTAATGTGAATGCTGATTAGAGAAGTCAAAGATGCTTGACTGGATTCCATGATCGAAGGGACTGTACAGGATAGAATAGAATGGAGGAGCAGACTGCGAGCCCTCTGTGACATATAAGAGCATATTAGGACAATAAATGCATGAATCACTTGCTAAAAGTTCAAAGGGTAGCTAACTTTTGAGCTGATCAAGAAAGAACTAACTCTGTGGCTCTGGCAACAATCCTAAGGATCTACATAAGAATAGCACCTGTGAACTAAAAACAATGCAATCTGGGAAATGAACCTGCAACTTTCAGAGCACAAGGTAAACAGCTTGACTTCTACATCACAGAGACTCCCCTAGATAATAAAAATAAGTTAAGCTTATAGGTGGTGGAAAGAAATATAGCACAGCATGTCATCTTTTCAATTTACTCTGTGGTTTCAACTGGTGTGGATAAAAATTGGGATGTTTTTTTTTTTTTGTTAGCACCAGTTACTGCTGCAGATAGTTTATGCACGAGCATCGGTCAATATACTATCAGTCAGTCAGTCAGTAGCATGTCCTTTGCAGAACCTTGCTCCCACAACAACCCTCTGGAAAACTTCTCAATCACAAGCAAGGTGTCCCGCCTCTGATACACCCATCTAGAGATCATCATTATCTTTGTGTTTCATTTCTTTGGGTTAAGGTTATTAAGTTTGTTATTCCAGTCTGTGATGTGGATAGGAATACTGTATCACTGGCATATCGGATCTCTGGTATTTCATTATCATCAATATTTAGGGTATAATATTGCACTCTGATTATATCATCTCTGACATTTCTCATTATATTTTTGGTGTAAAGGTTAAACAAATAGGGTAACAGCATACGGCCCTGACAGACTCCTTGCTTGATGTCAAACCACTCTGATGTCTCGCCATCTATTCTAACCGCTGCTTGTTGGTCTAGATGGAGCAATGTTATGAGGTGTAGTATATGTGATGGAAAACCCATATTCCTGATTAATTCGCAAAGTATCTGATGTTGTACATAGTCAAATGCCTTTGAATAATCCACAAAACATGAAAATAGGTTTACATTAAATTCTCTGGACTTCTCCATTATCAAATGCATGTTATGGATGTGATCTCTTGTTCCTCTCCCTTGTCTAAATCCAGCTTGAACCACGTTAATCTCTTCTTCCATTTTCTTACGAAGTCTTCCCATTATGATTTTTAGTAGAATTTTACTTGCATGACTGATCAGGGAAACAGTTCTACAGTTGGTGCATAATTTCAGGTTGCCCTTTTTTGGTATTGGAATGAAGATCGTTCTCCTCCAGTCATTTGGCCATATACCATATTTCCATATTATTTTACATAATGCGTGATTGATGTGTATGCTTTCTTCCCCTCTGCTTTAATTAGTTCAGCTGGCATCTCATCACATCCTGGTGATTTACCTTTTTGCAGGTTCTTTATTGCCCATGCAATTTCATCTAATGAGGGTTCAGGATCTGTCTCTGATATCATTGGTTCATATCCTCACAGTCATTAATATCATACATTCCACTGCAGTATTCCTGCCATCTTTCTAGAATTTGTCTGGATTCTTTCAAGGTATTTTCCAACGCCACAGATAACATTTAATCGAGGTTGAACATTTCTTGTCAATAACTTCATTTCTTTGAACATTTAGGAATCTCTTCCATTCTTATGATACTGCTCTATTTTAATACAACAATCTTGTATTTATTGGTTTTTGTCCTTTCTTGTGTTCTTTTTCGAGGTTGAACATTTCTTGTCAATAACTTCATTTTCTTTTAACTTTTGGGAATCTCTTCTGTTCTTATAATATTGCTCCATTTTAATACAACATTCACATATGTATTGGTTTTTGTCCTTTCTTGTGTTCTTTCTTATTTCTCGGGTTAAAGATTTAAATTTCAGCTTGCTGTTATCTGATTCATCTCCTTTCTTTTCCAGCTCCCTTCATTGTTTTATTAATTCTAATGTGTCTGATGTAATCCATGGCTTGTAATCCATGGCTTATGTTGCTTAGCCTTGGTCAGAATTAAATCTCTGGCTGCTGTTATCAAGATATCTCTAGCTTGTACTGCTAGTTTATCAGGTGTCATTTCCTCTTGTACAGACATCAAGACCCCAAAACGATTCCTCACTTCTACGTTGTACGCATCTGGTATTTTTGTGAGATCAAAACAAAGTGGCCTTGGTCCTCTGGTAAGCTTTTTGAGTTTTAATTTCAGATCTGCTTCTAATAACTGATGATCTGTATCGCTGTCTGCACTTCGTAGGGTTTGTGTAGATGTAATGCTTGATCTCTATCTTCTTTGTATTAAAATGTAATCAATCTGATATATATCAATATATAGTACATATCAATAAACTAGATCACTTAATTATCATCATGTGCTCTGCTAAATGGCAAATTCCAGCAAAACAATAAAGATTCTTCAGATTCTTACCAAAATAAAGTTGTGTTTTATTTGCTACAGGACCAGTGCTTTGAATCTGTACATTATCTGTGAGAAACCTTTGCACCAACTGATGAGCAAAAATAGAATCTGTTATTATGTGTATGCTCTATTTTCACAACAAACGATCTAAGATAACTTGAGGTACATAAAATAGTTGTGTCATGTTCTTGGAGTATAATTTTGTTCAACTTGTTTCAACTGATATGAGAAAACAATTTTCTGTATATCATCTTCTTTTCAGTGTTATCCTTCTTCTTTTCTTGTTTTGTTCTACTGCTTGTACCTAAAGCATTGCAGAGAGGAGTTAGATTTTGTTTCCTGTCTTTTACTAGTTGTGTAGCTTCTGTTAATGTCATACTGCGTTTTTTGTCATTTTTGCTTTCACTCTTTGCACCCATCTATTTCTTGGTTGTCCTCCTTCACTTGTAGCCTGCTAATGTAGTACAGTCTTGCTGCTGGCTGATTTGTTCTATTCCAGATGACCAAACCATTTAATTCTTAGAAGGTTCTATGAAATCATTGACAGATTCTTAGTGTCGGTCTAGATCAACCATTTGATTCTTGAAGGTTCTATGAAATCATTGACAGATTCTTGGTGTCGGTCTAGATCAACCATTTGATTCTTGAAGGTTCTATGAAATCATTGACAGATTCTTGGTGTCGGTCTAGATCATGTGCCCTGAGTGTTACTACCGCAGTTTAATTTTCTCCACTACTTATCTTGAGCATGCATGTTTAAACAATTAAATCCTGCAGTGGCTGAGAGTTCAATGGCTATATACCCCTGGTAAAAATTCCTGGTTGTCCATCCGCTTCTAAATTTGTTTTAGAATTTGAGTTGCATGTACAATAATTTTACAGATATGACTTATCTATATGCAGACTGTTGGTTCATTACCTCTCAGTCAAATCTACTCTGATTTCAAAGTAAACACACTTAATTAGTCACATTCTATGACATGCTTGTTCAGGGGGGAGTGGTTCCATCTTTTTTTTCACTCAAAATGGAGCCTCGGAGTTCACAATGATTATTTGTATATCATCATCATCATGTAGCATGTCATTTGCAGAAGGTCGCTCTCATCACAGTCTGCCTGAAAGAAACTCGGTCTCTCGCCAGCTCTCCCGCCTCATGTACTTTCATACCCAAAGAGTCACTTATATCCTGTGCCCATCTTCGTGTGGGGTGGCCCCTGCCCCTCCTTCCTGGTACCATGCCTTCTGCTATAATTTTTTTCCAATCCGTCGTGGCGGATTGGAATTTAAAATATATTTACAACAAACTAAGGCAGAGGGTATGCAACAGGACTGTCAAAACTCCTTTTTTTTTTACAACACCCCCCCCCCCCTTTTTTTTTTCCCAATCCCAAGACAAGCACTTATAGGAATGCCCCAAGTCCTGTGATGTCAGTTTTTAAATCAACTCAACTCAACCATACTTAAATGTAATTTAGTCAGCTAGATTATATCCTGAACACTGTCGATCTTATTTACATGTGTAGGTTAAAGGTCCCCATTGGGGGCGGGTGGCAGGGAACCGACTCACTCCCCAAAGAGTGCCGAACCGTTGAACACTAGGAAGAAATAAGTCGGTCTTCTTCAAGCGGGTTGCTGAACTAAAGCAACTGTAATTTTTGGTAAACACTAAAATACCTCATCGTTGCCTTGACGTGCAAGGGTTGATAAACTTTGACTAGAACTTTTGGCACGCTGTAACTCAGCTTGAAGGTTTTGTAATATTGTGTTATCGTCCGCCATTTTGACGCTTTGTGTTGCTACCGAAGACGTGCCTGTTACGTCCTGGCTTCTCATTTACATCATTATGTGCCATGCCGGTAAGCGTTATCTGTCACTATCACTAGTCTCGGGGAAAAGAGATAGGATGAAACATTTTGCTTTAGAAACGACTGTATAAGGCTGCACATATTCTTTGTCCGATTGCTGGTCTACAGCAGGCACCCACGATCACAAATTCCCAGCTCAGTGTCCTGTGCTAGTTTGAAACGTGTTTTGCTTATACATTTGCTAATTCGGTTTTAGTTTTAGTTTCCTTGTTTTAAATTGTATTCCATCAGCTGATGAAACTTGAACGCAGACAGAATGAATCCATGCTGATAATTATGGGATGTACAAGAGATACCCCGGTTGTATGTATGCGATACATACTTGTACTGTCTACTATTGCAGATAGGCTCAAAGCAAAAATATATCTCAAGAGTAGCTGCAGACAAGAAGCACCTCCTACATGAAGCATTGGCTAGAACTAAGGGTCACAGACTGAAAAAAGGAAGGTCTTGGATGGCGCAGGCTGAGGACACAATTATACTTCTGTGCAGGTTTGATAAATTTGTGAGAGGTGAGGAATGGGTCAAAATGTCCGAGCAAGTTTCAGACGTGTGTAGAGTTCTTGTCACTTTAGGTGATGAGTGCAGGGACTTGCCAGCTGGTGCTGCAGAATCCGAAGTCGGATAAATTATTCAAGACAATTCCCACCCAGGTGATGTGATTATCTATACATACAGCTCTGGGCTATCCTCTGAATAACGGGCACAAAGATGGCAGCCAAAAACAGGGCCTTAGTTAAGTGTCAATTGCCACTTTCGGCGACTTAATGCTGTTTTCCGGCGACTACCGCCACCGCCAGAGTCCCGAACGCAGCTCACGCGGCGTGGATCGGCTGTGCACACACGCCGTGATTGTAACTGTCTCACAGAGCATGTCGAAAAATGCGGAGACAGGCATGCTGCGTCCAGAGTGGCAAGCATCATTTAAGAGGTCTGGAGTAGTTAGCGTTTTTTTTTTTTTTTTTTGCATATTTTCTCCAGGCATGATGGTGGGTTTGGAACAAACAGGCAGATAAGAGTGGCTGGTTCTGCATCGATTAGTGGTGAATTTATTTATCACAAGCTAGATGTTGCAAGGTCTCTTTGAGAGCGAGTGATTCTGACCACAACACCCATAGAGTGCCAGCTGGTGTGCAAACTACCGGTCAGCATGGCGTGCCTACTGGTGTACAAACTATGGATCAGCAACGAGAGTCAACTGGTGTACTAACTATGGGTCAACATCTAGTGTCAACTGGTCTACAAACTATAGGTCATCATTTAGTGCCAACTGGTCTACAAATTATAGGTCAGCATTTAGTGCCAACTGGTGTACAAACTATAGGTCAGTATCTAGTGTCAACTAGTGTGCAAACTATGGGTCGACATCTAGTGCCAACTAGTGTACAAACTATGGGTCGACATCTAGTGCCAACTAGTGTACAAACTAAGGGTCGACATCTAGTGCCAACTGGTCTACAAACTATAGGTCAGCATTTAGTGCCAACTGGTGTACAAACTACCGGTCAGCATGGCGTGCCAACTGGTGTACAAACTATGGGTCAGCATTTAGTGCCAACTGGTGTACAAACTATGGGTCAGTATCTAGTGTCAACTAGTGTACAAACTATAGGTCAGCATTTAGTGCCAACTGGTGTACAAACTATGGGTCGACATCTAGTGCCAACTAGTGTACAAACTATGGGTCGACATCTAGTGCCAACTGGTGTACAAACTATGGGTCAACATCGAATGCCAACTGGTGTACAAACTATGGGTCAGCATTTAGTGCCAACTGGTGTACAAACTATGGGTCAGCATTGAGTGCCTAAATGGTACACAAACGATTGGTCAGTATCGCGTGCCTAAATGGTATACAAACTATAGGTCAGTATCGCGTGCCTAAATGGTGTACAAACTATGGGTCAGCCTCGAGTGCCAACTGGTGTACAAACTATGGGTCGACATCTAGTGCCAACTAGTGTACAAACTATGGGCCAGCCTCGAGTGCCAACTGGTGTACAAACTATGGGTCGACATCTAGTGCCAACTAGTGTACAAACTATGGGCCAGCCTCGAGTGCCAACTGGTGTACAAACTATGGGTCAACATCGAATGCCAACTGGTGTACAAACTATGGGTCAGCATTTAGTGCCAACTGGTGTACAAACTATAGGTCAGCATTGAGTGCCTAAATGGTACACAAACGATTGGTCAGTATCGCGTGCCTAAATGGTATACAAACTATAGGTCAGTATCGCGTGCCTAAATGGTGTACAAACTATGGGTCAGTATCGTGTGCCTAAATAGTGTGCAAACTATGGGTCAGTATCGCGATGCGGGAGCAGGTAGTGGCAGTCACTGGCACATAGGATACACAATAAAGTAGATACTGCCTCGCTGTGAGGTTGCTTTTCTCTCCGGCGTCTCCTCTCTACAGTTTGCTGCGTTTGGTTTCTTTTAAAATGCGTCAATCTGTCTTTCACTTTCTGTCGCCATAGTTGTCAATCTGCAGTTGATTTTTCCCAAGTACCTGTGCCTTTGTTGGTATCTGTCAGGTCACGTCTGCATGTCTTTATAACGTAGCTTTAGCCTTTCTGTATGCCTTCCTGTTTCCAGTTCTCCATACAGGAGGTCCATTGGAATACGACCATTCTCCAAGCGGGAGACATGTCCCAGTCAGCGCAGACGTCTCTTGTATTTTTGCTTTTGTGAGTACACATTCATTGGAGACAAAGTCTCGCCATGATATACCAAAAATATTCATTCTCTTTTCTTAAGGAGCATATAGAGTCCAGGATTCGCTACCGTACAGTAGCGTGTTCAATACACAAGACTCAGAAATTTTCATTTTAGCATTGTCAGTCACCTTTTTGTTTGACAGACTCTCTTAGTGAGATTTAAAAACATGCAGAGGCCTTTGCTATTCGTCTGTGTGTCTCTGCATCTAGGGAATAATCGTCTGAGGTCCTCAAACTCATGTACAGCCAACAGCTGATGGCCATAAACACTAATGTTTGGTGGGTTTTCAACCCTCATTCCCATTACTGGTATACAAACTATAGGTCAGCATGGTGTGCCTAACTGGTATACAAACTATAGGTCAGCATGGTGTGCCTAACTGGTGTACAAACTATAGGTCAGCATGGTGTGCCTAACTGGTATACAAACTATAGGTCAGCATGGTGTGCCTAACTGGTATACAAACTATAGGTCAGCATGGTGTGCCTAACTGGTATACAAACTATAGGTCAGTATGGTGTGCCTAACTGGTATACAAACTTTAGGTCAGCATGGCATGCCTAACTGGTATACAAACTTTGGGTCAGCATGGCGTGCCTAACTGGTATACAAACTATAGGTCAGCATGGTGTGCCTAACTGGTGTACAAACTTTGGGTCAGCATGGCGTGCCTAACTGGTATACAAACTATAGGTCAGCATGGTGTGCCTAACTAGTATACAAACTATAGATCAGCATGGCGTGCCTAACTGGTATACAAACTTTGGGTCAGCATGGTGTGCCTAACTGGTATACAAACTATAGGTCAGCATGGCGTGCCTAACTGGTATACAAACTATAGGTCAGCATGGCGTGCCTAACTGGTGTACAAACTATAGGTCAGCATGGTGTGCCTAACTGGTGTACAAACTATAGGTCAGCATGGCGTGCCTAACTGGTGTACAAACTATAGGTCAGCATGGTGTGCCTAACTGGTGTACTGTCACAGACCTCTGGGTGACCTTGCTGGACCGTGGCTCGTAACTGGTAAATAAACTATACCTTTAACAGCACTGAACCCGAACGCACACAGAGCACTAACAATCTTTATTGTAATACAGGTAATACAATAGACAGTTGACTTCCGCTGTGTGGCCACCTGTGCCTAACTGCTCCCAGTATGTTCAAACAAGCAATTTAGTGTCAAAGCATGGGGTGCTCCTAACTGGTGACCAACAAACTGTTAGGTCAGTGCATGGTGTGCCTAGACATGGTGTACAAACTACCCTAGGTCTAACTATGGTGTAACTATGGCAGTCGCCTAAACTGGTATACAAACTATAGGTCAGCATGACCGTGCCTAACTGGTGTACTTGAAACTCCAGCTAGGTCAACCGCGGTCATGTGTGCCTAACTGCCGTGTACAAACTATCCTAGGCGCTGGTTTCACCGTGCATGGTGTGCCTAACTGGTGTACTCAAAACTATAGGTCAGCATGACTGTGCCTAACTGGTGTACAAACTATAGGTCAGCATGGCGTGCCTAACTGGTATACAAACTATAGGTCAGCATGGCGTGTCAACTAGTGTACAAACTATGGGTCAGCATCACGTGACAACTGGTGTACAAACTATGGGTCAGCATCACGTGACAACTGGTGTACAAACTATAGGTCAGCATGGCGTGCCTAACTGGTGTACAAACTATAGGTCAGCATGGCGTGTCAACTAGTGTACAAACTATGGGTCAGCAACACGTGCCTAATGTGTACAAACTGAGGTGGCATGGGTGCCTAATTTACTCAAACTATGTAAAGGCTGATTTACTCTAACTGGTGTACAAACTATGGGTCAGATGGTTACTCCACTTGTGTACAAAACTGATTTACTGTCAACTGGTGTACAAATTATGGGCTGATTTACGTGCCAATGCGTAAAGGAAATGGTCATTTACTCCACTTGTAAAGGCTGATTTACTCCACTTGTAAAGGCTGATTTACTCCACTTGTAAAGGCTGATTTAAATAAAAAGGTAAAGAATCTCACTTCCAGTCCATTTTCTCCAGGTCATACCAGTGTGTTGGGAAACAAGCAGGCGGATAGAGTGGCCGGTTCTGCATCACTTGGTGGTGAATTGATATATGACAAGCTAGATGTTGTAAGGACCCATTGGGAACGAGTGAACAGTGTGGAGACACAAATGGATCATTACAGTC